AGTTATTGACAGCAATCGATTGAATTATTATTGCACTTAATAATACTCAAATTCAAGTAGCTCATTTGATTCTCAAAGTTTAATGAAACATGAAATACCTTTGAAATTATTACAAGTTTAATTTTATTTATTATATAACAAAACATTGATAAAAAAGTAAAAATTAAAAAATAATGATTTAATTTTTCTTAAAGGAAAAATAATGTATGACAAAAACAGATAAATATTTAAAATATATCTCAATAATAATGAGGCTAATCTATTTAAAATATTTTGCTCTTATTAAAATAACTTAGACTAGAGGAATGAATAATTCTTTTCATGAAGTAAAACCGGAGTTTAATAGAAAATGTTTTTAAAAGAATGGTTGAAATTTGATCAGCTGTGGTTTTCATCTAGATTCTCAAGTTTCTAGAAAAGACTTTATATCGATACTGACTGGTTGGTTCCCATGGTCACCCGTGACGCAAGCGGATTATAGATTAAACGATGACGAGACAATTTTCTCTTGTCGCTATCCACTTCATATCCAGCCAGAGATTCACTTGAACTCCCTCATTGCTGTCCTCGTCAACTTTCTGCGTTACTTTCTTATCAACACTTTCTAATAATCTTCATAGATAGACTTATATGGCCATCCTTTGCATGTGTTAGTACGTGTTTAATCAATACACCGCAACGAAATCTTAATCTAATTGTGATCATAAAGACAATGTGGCTCCTGTTATATTGAGACAGCATAAATTGATTACTCCAGCTTCTCTCTAGTCTCTCTAATTAAATTCCGCTGAATGAAAATTATTTAACTTGAAATATCTAAAATTTCGCCCTCCTTAAGAATTTTCGTTCGTCACTATTTCAAAGGAACGTTCAACAGAAAATTATTCCTATTATGCTGATATGAATTGTTTCAGCAATAATCACACAGCTTACTTGCAACACTTCTTGACAGTAAATACATTTCATTATAAAAAAAAGATTAATTAAGTACAAAAAAATTATTTACTATAAAGAAACGCTATGTCTCAGTTGAATAACAATTCATATTATCCTAATTTTCCTATTACTATAGGAGAGGGTAAGATTATGGTCCATTCGTAAATTTAATGAACACATTGCGTTTTCCATCAGCTAACTCTCAAATATATTGGGAAATAAATTCTTGGCAATGGACAGAAACTTCAAGAAGTAATGATTGGTGATAATTCAATTGAGTATTATATGATTTAGTAAAAACTAAAAATGATTCATAATTCTACCTTTTTCTCTACCAATTATACTACGAATTTTAAATTTGGAAGTATTTTATTTCCATGTACTTAAACTGCTTTAAATGACGTCACCCATTTGAATAGCATTGTAGTCACTTTTAATTCACTTGAGCGTGTTTAAAAAGTGACTACCATGTTCAGAACCGGATTTAAATTGCTACCCGGAAATACACTACATATCCGGGAAAATTCAAGTGCATATTAATAGAATGTTTAAAGTGTTTACTAATTAAATACCTAAGTATGTTCAATGTTGATCACCATCAACATATTATAATATTTCAGTAAGCATGTAGATTTGTAGTGTAATCAATGAAAAGATGAGTTTTTTAATTACGCCGGAAGTGTATTTGATAAAGTTGTTTTGACAAACTTTAGAATAAATTTTAATTAAAACATGTCTGCACAAAATGTGCAATTCTTGGAGACTTGTAATACTTGGATAGTCTGCAACTTATTGTGAGAATAATCCGTAATATATATTGTCCAGATAGCTCAGCTAAACATAAATATGTATGGGTATCAAAGTCTCGACTATATAGATGTACACATGCTCTGTGGGTAATACCTCTCTCTGAGGGTGGTTTAGTCTCTTTGCACTTGCCACTAAACTCAACCCTCTGTTCCTATCTCACTACCTCCATCTCTGTCTGCTTCCCTACGTCCTTTTGCATCGGTTTCCCGTTCATCCGTCACGTACCCTCCATCTATTCCGTGCCGGTTGCCACGGATAACCTAGATACATCGCACGATTCATCATGCAATTCCCGTGATAGTCCAGTACCCCTTGACACTCCTAATAATTCGAAGCTGATAAAAATTTTAGGTTAACTTCAGGCCAACCGTTGTGATGGATAATATCTAGCTGAAATAAAAGACCATAAGTCGTAATAATTCAAAAAAATGGCATTTTAGTTATTCTGTTATATATCTTTATAAAAAAAGCTCATCTAAAATTTAACTTAAATCAGACTGTAACAAAAACCTTTTACTTTTTTAAATAAATACGTCGTTCATCGTTGAATTATAGTCATTAAAGACAGTGAAATTTTAATAATGAATTATTAGCTATTGATTAAAAATTATTTTTATCAACTTTTCAATTATAACTACTATTTAAATTTTAATGAGAGGTTTTAATTGGATTACCAGTCAAATTTTAGAGATTAAATCATTTAAATGTGTAATCATTGGCAAGTATTGCGTATAATAATTGGCAAGGATGTCAATAGAAATCAATAAAAGTTGAAGAAATCAAAATTTCAATTTTTTTTCATTAATAAATAATTGAACCTCGAAATTGATTTAAAAAAAAAAATAAAAACGATGAGTATAAAATTATAGGAATGAAATAATTATTATTTAATAACAGTTTAATTTCATTATTCATCAATTTTATGCAACAATGAATACGAATTTTATTTAATAGAAACTTCATTACTTGGTAGAATTTGAAAGTATATATAAATGTATGTATGCATATACTTTTGATAATATTGTTATTTACATCTTCCAATCGTGTTTATCTTTACGAGACTCACTTTGTTTACATTAACAGGTAGTCTATTTTACATTTCTTTTAGGATGACTCATACAATATTCTAAATTGTTGGTTCAGTTTTACCTCTTGTTTAGCTTATCAATATATTTTCGTACTAATTTATCAATCGTTTAGATAGACAAGTGGGTGAACGTACCATTCCTCAGAGTGTACATGCTAGTGGTCGTGAGTTCGAATCCCCGACATGAAAATTTATAAAACCGATAAATTTCCGTAAGAATTCTTTGCTTTCTTAAATCTTTAAATTTCTGCAACAGAGATTGAATTTGCCAGATAAAAAATATATGTGTTACCACAGTCTACTGATTGGAGTCATCTGACCCTGATCAGTAGACTTATTTAATTGATCATGAAGGTCATATCAGGTTGTCAAGCCTTATTTGGCCTTAATGATTTTTTAGCATTTCTTTTTTGCTCCAACCTGATTATCTAAATAATTAAAGCTTTTTTTTTTTTAATTTAAAAATGATGTAATATTTTTTTTAATATCAGTTTTTAATAAAAAGAAAATCATATTGACATTCTAGATAATTTTTACCTGAATAAGATGCACAAAGCATGTATTTAGACATCTATACATATTAATTAATGTTTATTGTACCATTCTAGCAATATATGTCACGAATTACTATGAAAGTGAGGTGTAGATTGTATAGAGGAATGAAGGACAGGTTGAATAAAGTAAAGTATTTCTCATCCGTGATAATATAGATGACTCAGTTGCGATTAGGAACGCAAGCTTCAAAGTGAGAATACTTGAGAGACGCTTACCAGGCACGCTTGGAATATTCAGATCTCACATAACTTCATACATACTATGTTTTACTTCTTTTAACTCAACTCTCCCTTGTTCTTCCGTCATCCCAACCTGGTACGTCAATCCTCTCGTATCCCTAAAGAACTCATGAGTGCTGCCAACATGCTTAACACGTGCTCTATATACATTTTTTATCAGCATTATCTTTTATGTCTTTCGACGTTGCATCGATTTTTTATTTTTTGAGGGAACATTTGTTAAACTTGGAAATGAGTTTATATTTCAACTGATTTATGATAAATGGAATTCACTTGGTTATACAATTCTTGTTGTTTCAATAATTTTTGACAATTAAAAATGAAAAAATAAATTTTTCTCGATCTATTCAGTTGTTTACATTGGAAACATTTTCAATTATACTCAGTATACTTGTATTTTTTTATCATTTGATATTCGTTTAATTAATTTTTTAAAAGCTATTCTACAAATTGTTATGATCAAATGGAATTTAAGCGATAAAATATCTCGTAATTTTTTTTTTTAATCTGTTTGAAGATAAATAATTTTTTATCAATCTTGTTAACATTCTGCTAAAAAATTTTTGATTGAATTACCTCAGTAACTGTTTTGTTAATAATGCATGGAATATAAAAAATTTCATTTCATTGAACTAACTACTATGATATTTGAAATTTTTCACGGAATTGTAGTGTAGTGATTATTCACATTGCCCTTGGAAAAGTAAATAATTGTTGTGAATTATTGTAGAAAGAGAAAAAAATAAATAACTAGAGAAAAGTATATAAAGGAGAAAATATAAGAAAAAGATGCAATAGTGAAATAATAGTTACGATTGCAAGAGTTGTTAAGAAGGTTGCTTTCTACCTCTTTTGCACGCCAAACTCATCCCCCTTCTCTTTCCTTGCCAACATCATACCGGAAATAGCAGGCAAGTAACGATAAACGTGAGTTTGCGAATGTATCGTTAGTAGTATTGCCAAGAGAACGATAAGCACTTACAGAACCCCTGTTACTGTTGGCAAAGGTGGCGGCTAGCTAACTACTAATTACTACCAGCTCTCGAGAAAATTCAAGAAAATTTTCATTTTTATTTTTACTTGAATAAATATTGCTTACAAAATGTTTTTATTGAACACCATTATCATCATTATAATTAATAATATAATAATTTATTTTTTATTTTAATTTTCAACAATATTATAAAATTATAAAACTTTAATATATTTAATTAATTAACAAAAATCACAAAAAAAACATCAAACAGTGATTGATAATAATTTTCTAGTTTAAATGAAGGTAAAAATATTTTTAACACCATTTTTAGTAAATTATAATTTAATTAATCACCAAAATTTACGGTTAATTTGGCAAATTAATAAGTTGCAAATGAAGTTTATAAATATTCATTGATCGATATACTTTCATATTGTTGATCATTGAGAAAAAAAAAGGTATTGAAGAGGAGGATAAAGAGGAGATGAAGAAGAGGAAGAAAAAAAAGATCATTGAAGAAAGAGTGGATGAAGAATAAGAATAAGTGGAACTATAGCTAATTATTTGCCACTTGTCAAGAACAGTTAAACGACTCTCTAGTTTCTCTTGGGCATGGATCGATAAGATGGTAGAGAAAATGAACGATCAACCTTAATTGTCTCTTTCTCTCTTATTCGTTTCCACAAATTGTTGCCTTGTCTCGCATTATGCGTCTCCAACGCTATCAAGTCAGAAGATAGATATAGCTATACAGAAAAAGGTTTGGTAGTCAAGTGTAAAGAAAAAGCATGTGATGTCAATTTCTCTGTGGTTTGATCACCCGACACGCTGGTGGTGGCAATTTCGTAAATCCGGCATTATCGAAGACTGGAAGTAAATCTCGGACACGTTGGCCAGCACCCAAAGCCGCCAATTCCAACCACCTGTCAAGGAAATGGAAATTTGATTATCGGAATATCAGAAATAATAAAAAAAAAATAAGCTTCACTAAATTGAACTATGAAATTGTGGTATTTTCAAATGCTTATTTTATTGGAAAAATGTAATTTGTAAAAAAAAACTACTTCGATAGTTTATTTGTCAGTATTCCAACTATTAAAATGGAAAAAAAAATTTGCAATCTATTTCCAATGAAAAGAAGTAATACGAAAAATTCTCTTGGCATTTTAGATGAACTTGGAATATCTTCAATTGATAACAAAAAATATCATTCTAAAAAATAATATTAATTCTTTAAAAAATAGGATTAATTTAAAAGCAGAGTTGTATAATTTTTTTCTATTACTAGAGACATTTCAATTTTGCTTGAAGCACCAAGATTATTTTTAGTACAAGATAACCTCTTGGTTGTTGATGTTTATTAGAACCTTGATATTTAATTAGTCTAACCCACCTGTTGTTTTTATATTTGGTCAAATTCGGGCTGATGGGATGTGGAGTTTCAGTTGGGAAATAAGTAGCACCATAGAAATCAAGACCACGACTTAGAAGCATAGAAGTTTCTTCAACATTAGCTAGAGTTACCCTAATAACTGGCGGTCCCGTATAAATTACTGGAGGTTCGTTGCTATTTTGAGTTTCACTTTTGAGTTTGTCGTTGATAGCTTTTACTGTAACAACAATGTACAAACTTATTAATATAATTATAATTGTCCATGTGAGTTGTTCAATTGAATTATAAAATACTATCAAAAATAACAACATTCATCCATTTATTGTAATAAAATTTTGGAGCTGAATCTATGACTATCACTGCACTTGATAAAAGAAAAGCAATATGATACAAAACAATTCTAAATATTTTTATTCTTTGTGTAGATACATTGAGAAAAATTTTCATATAAACTTGAAATGACTTACAAACAGTTGCAGTGTTGAGTGGAAGTCTAGTGACTTCAACAATAGAACGGTACTTGTAGAGAGCGTGCCTGATGTCGTCTTCAGGAAGTTCTTCAGGAACATCCAGGACATAAACAGTAAAAATCTTCGCAGGTCGACAAGGAATGGCTACTTTCTTGTAGAATCTGGCACCAGTTACTTTATGAAAACCCTTCTTGTAAACCGCTTGAAAGTCCTCGATGTTACTGAACTTGAAGAGAATGCCAGTCGCTGTCTTGGTTAAAGAGAAAGCTCCTCTGAAACAGAGAAAAGTTTTAAGATGACCCTAGTAAGTGCGAGCTTTCGCTTCAGCACCCTAATCCTCTTGAATTGGGCGGAAAGTGGAACAGCTTCATGTCCTATCAGCATGAGTAAGTCCTTATCAGGCTTCAAGTGGTCTTGAGAACATGCATTTATTAGTTGATGGAAAAGGGGTCGAGGGGAGCGAGGAATAAGTAAATATGTTGAAGGATGAGAACGAAAATGCAGAAATTATGTAAAAAAATTTATTCTGAATTTTTGTGGGAATTCAATTCAATTATTGAAAGAAATTAATTTATATAAATTCGATGAAAAAATGTTGGGATGTGAATTTTTTTTAATCCAACAGATTATTTATTGAATTAACTGTAAATATAAATTTGGTTTGATAAAAAAAAAATTTTTTTTAATTGGACAGTGATAGTATCAGAAGTAACATGTAATCAAGGTGGTTTGTTACAAGTTTTAAAGAGGATTGAAGAACACACATTATTAGACTGGAAGATCTTAAAGAGAAGAAGAATGAAAGCATAAATGTAGGCAGTGGAGATGGAAAGTGGCAGCAGGAGTGGCGCAGGAGAAGGAAGAAGGTGGAATAATTTAGGCTTGGTTCTAGAGAGAATGAAGAGCAGTCAGGAGGGGAATTTGAAGAGCTCAGGATTCACCGGAAGTTCGTTTTCTTACGAATGGTCGTCGTACTTATCGTGCTCAGACTCAAGGTATAGCTTTGCCATTGAACGAGCAAACGAATGAACGACGTTGAAATTGTGTAAGATTGAAGAGGAAGAGGAGAAGCAAGCGGAACGACCTGAAGATGATCCCGCAAATCGACCGAGTGATCACGTCAATCACTCGTGCGATCAGAATCCCTGGATTCTCAGAACAAAATGGCTCGGAATTGCCTAGCATTTAAGAGGATTCTCGAAATCCATATGACATATCAACTAAGATCAAGTGTCATAAAACATGTGTAACTTTAAATTGCACTTAAGCTTTCAGATTTATTGTCAGTGCACGAGACTTTGCAGAAATGTTTTAGCTGCAATTATGAAAGTAGTTAAAACTGTTAATAATTATTTAATTAATAAGAAAGACATCTAAAGTTTTTTATGAGTACTTTACTCTGAATCTTTTATCATGTTTTCATTTATTCAGACAAATAAATAACTCTAAAAATATAATATATTTGAATGTTAGAAAGCGTAATAGGAAACAATATCACAAGAAAGATGGAAAACAACAAAGCAACATATTTTTTTAGTATTGTAATTATACTCTTACCGGAAGTTCATTTTGTCACAAATGGTAGCAGCTTTTTCCACTGTGAGTTCATGGCTAGGTGTAAGTAGAAAGGCACCTTTAGTGAGGAAGTCATTTTCACTGATTTCAGAATCCGTATCGTGATCCATCCAATCTCTTTCTTGGCTCACCGCGCCCTCTTGATTCAGCCGCAATGATGAGCTATTCTTCGAAGTTGACATATCCTTGTCGTAGATCACACTGCCAGCTTGTTCCGGTTGCGACATCTTTTTATACCAATAAGAAAGAAGAAGGGGCTCTACCAAGGACCTAAAATGGGATTTGTAAACGAATATTACGCTATCGAGGACGTTCGATCGCAAGACAGATCACGTCTTGGTACACTGAACGCGCTTAGTTTCAACTGACTTGCCTTTTATACTCTTCATATAAGCTAATCATGCTCTTCTACCATCTGCGTTTCGATGCATGAAGGCAAAAACTCATGATGTGAGACCCTTTTTTGCCTTTCAATTGAAGCATCAATTGACCAACTCATGCATGATCTTCGTGATGATAGAATATCTTATATAATCCAATCAATATATCATCAGGATTTTTATCTAAAAAATCATTGGCAAGTGATAAGAGAAACCAAATATTTTTCCAACAATCCAATAAAGTAACATTTACTATAGCTTTTGTCAATCCTAGAGATTTATAGTGAGTGATGATACTAGGATAAAATTCAAATTGAACTGAAAAATCTATGGTATATGCCAGCATGAAATATTTTGAATTCTACTTTTTTTACAGGAACCTTTTCTGGTATTTATTGATTTCAAAGAAATCATGTTCTCATTGATGTTCCATTTATTTAATCATCATTACATCAAGTTTAGGAATTAAAAATAACTTGGAAGTTTTTTTCATGTTTAATAATTGCTAGTTTTTTTTTATTTATAAAATTTAGTGTATCTTTGATGATAATGGAAAGCCTAAAATAAAGCTAGTAGGTGGTTAATCAAGCGTACACTTTTTGCTTTGTGAGACAAACAATGGAATGTGGGTGCCTAATTGGATGATTTGATGAGGCAATACTTGGGTCTATAAATTGCCATCAGCTGGAAGTCTAAGTAAAGGTCCAGCATCTATTTTAGGTGTCACGGTCGATCAAGTATTTTTAAACTCATTATATATGTAACTATTGTCTAAAAAATGTTTTGTACCCTCCAATACCGTCGTTTGCATTGATCCAACGTTGCAATACCCATAAATCATCGTCAAATCATTAAAGATTAATAGCTTTAATAAGCAGAGAAGCATGAGAGAACTTTATTAATTTTTAACTCACAAAAATTAATTACTCTGTTCCGAACATTGGCTCGTAAATTTCATATCATGATGAGTAAACTGATTTCATCAAGTATCAACATCAATTTGAAATTGAAAATAACCAGTTATTCTTGGAATATTAACAGCGACAAACTAAATTGGACCAAACTTACAGGAAAGAGCAACGAGTTTTGTTGATAAATTGAAACATTAATTAATGATAAATAAATAAACTTCTTTGGCAGATAATTACAACTCTTTCACGTACTAAATGTAAATGTTGCATCATAAATCTAAGATTATGGTAGACGGGCGAATTTCATCGAAGTGTTTGAAGATTAAAGCGACCACACGCTGTTGCTAGGCGAGCTGGTGAATCGCAACCGCAGCGCAACACCGCGCACGTGACTTAGATCGATCCAACTACTACTGACTATACGTAATCCTATCCGAAGCAGCTTGCTGCACATTCTGTGTGTAGAAAATGGGCCACGAGTTGTGATTTTTCACAAGTGTCCTAGCAACAAAGCCATTAGAACATTCGCATTCACCCTCTGGAGGTATCTAAAAAACCTCATTCAGATTTTCCTTTCTGCCGGATTACCTTCCACACGTATCATTGACCAACAATAGCACATATGTATAGCAGTTGATAAAATAAGTCAGTGGATTTGTATTAATTTTTATTTTTTCTTCATCCAAAATGATGATTTCACTTCAAGAAATGATGAAGTAAAATATACTGGTTCTATCATACCACCAATTTTAGCTGGCACAATATATCCTATTAAACCAAAGTGTTATTCTGGAAGGTCTATTTCACAAAATGGAACAAAATCAATGCTCTATATTGCATATATTATTAGAACTTGTTTTCACCAATTCCATTTCCAAGATTTATTTAATGAATAGATAATGAATTGAATCTATTGAATGTTTACTTGGCACGCTCTTTGGTTCCATTAAATGTGATTTTAACAGTTTAACCTCATTTGAATCTCACCATCAACAATACAGTATCCAAAAAATGAGCTTGCGCTAAATTCGATTTATTAGCATTAGTATGCATGAACATTAGCTTTAGTTGACTGCATCTTTTACTATTCCCACATGCAAAACTATAATTATAAAGCATAACCAGCGGCAAGCTTTAAAATCAAATTGCCGGAATTAGCGCGGCTCGTGCCGAACGGACCGACTAATTACTTAACAAAGCAATTACAAGCGCCTTCGTCCAATTATACTCGCCATGCCCTTGGGCTTTTCCTGCTACTGCTGTTGCTAAAGATGGCACGAGTAAATTCCTAGGACACTATACTGCTACTTCTTAAGTCCCAAGTGATGTCTGCTTCAACCTTCTCAACCCCTTTAAGACACCTTGATGCTTATACTCATCAACAAGCTCCCTTGCTGCTATCCTGGGTGCATACCAAGCTCTTAGTAATCACCTTGATGCGTTCCTTCATTAACTATTTATCTTGAAATATTCTGACAACTAAGGAAGATTTTGGTTTTAATTAACTTTAATGCTCTCGAAATTCTTTATTTATTTAATATCCTTTTTTATTTAATTATTATTTTTCTAATGCTTTCTTTTTAATTATTTCATTTTTTTTCTCTAGAATGCTGTCAGTTATTCTTAATATCTTAAGCCTTTTAAGAGAATTTATAATTAATTTATATTGTTTAAAATAAAATATTAATTATTTGTTTAAATAAATATAGAAAAAGTTTTAAAATATATGCTTGAAAAAGTGTTGAATCTTATTTGTGTAGAGAAAAAAATATTTGATTGAAAAAAAATGTGATAAGAAGTTTTTCTTGAAAACTAATCGTTTTCACGATACACATTCACAAAGTTTCAATAGAGAAAAAACCGATTATTTCTGGAAAAAAGATGTATCAAAGGATTCACATGAATAATAAAGAGGTACATTAGCGGATTAGTTGAATAAGGGTAGAGAAAATAAATATAAAATGAATGAAAGCAAATAAATGTTCACTTAGGAGTTGATTCTTCCAGTTGAGAAGTCGTAAACGATCACACCCTCCGAGTCAACCCTACTCGTAGCTGATTTTAGTCAGCTGCATGCCACCCAATGTAGTGCCGTCTCTATTGATCGAAGCTTGGAGAGGCATAGAGTTACAGGCTAGTGGCGTCAACCCTCTCCTTCTCCCCCTGATGCTTCACCCTACCTCTCTTACACCCCCTTCTGTATTCTACACCGGGATCTACGGTCATGCCAACGTAGACCGTCTGCACATATTGAGCTTGTATCTCGACATATTTGTGAAGACGTCTCTCGCTGTCCAACCGAAAACCCTAGTTCTCTTCTTCACTGCTTCTCACGTCCTCCATTCGACAGCCTGTGCTATCCGAATTCCATTTCCGCTCAATTACGATTCATGCCCTTTTAACGGTCGTCTGCACGTCTCTACCTCTACAAAAAACTAAACGTACTATTCGTGTGACCCTCAAGGTCTGTACAATCAACTTTACAGGAAAATTGAATTGTTATAAACAAAATTCAATTGATCTTTACAATATTAAATTATTGTTAATCATTTTCTATTACTACCAGAAATATTTTCACGGTGAAAAAAATAATTTGCTACAAAAAAAATTAATTGTAAAAAACAAAACATCGTCGATCAGATACATGTGATCACTTTTTAATATTTGCAATTTATTTTAAGCATTTTGATATTTAATTCCCAGAGCATTGAAATAGCTAGAGTTTAATCATAAAATGGACTAAGTGAAATTAATTCGAGTTTACCTTCATTGTTTATCGTATTTTATATTAAAAATCTCAACTAGGTAGATATTTAATTCTGAAAAGAAACTTTATTCAAAAAACATGTCAACTGTGTATGTATGTCAAACAGGTGTGCATAAATAATTACACATTCATTAACTTTAGCAACATCTATTGTACATTATAATCAATGAAAATTTAATTTGATATAAATATTTAATTAAACTCATTGCAAACACTTCAAAATGTCTTGTCATGTCGGTTTGTGTTAAATAAGTAATCAATTCCCAATATCATCTTATAAATGAATTTTTTAATCTAACAATATTATTTATATTTGTTGGTTTTCGATAATTAAAGTATTTAAGATTGTTTATTGTTTCAAACAAAAAACAAATAAAGTTGCTAAACTATGTCCAACTATCAGCAATATAAAAGCAAACTTTAAATCTTTTAACTGAATAGGATGGTAGCTAGCTTGTGATTTTATCTTTTGTCTCTCCTCTAGTACTGACCAATCTGTTTCTTTTTCCATTCATCCAACGATTATATACTGTTCTTTCAGTATGTGCCATTAAAACCCAGTCAAATTTTTCACAAAGAGGAAATCGTTTATCATATACTTGATATTTCCTTACTGTCATGACTTTATTCTTGCTGATGTGAAGTTTATTGCTATATTGGAAGTCCACTAAACCTTTTTAAATCTCAAATAAAGGTTCAATAGACACTGAATCAGGATTATAATAAAGACTATTGAAGCATTTTGAGAATAATTCTACCAATGTGATTTTTGCACTAAGTTTTCGTTTATAATATAAGTTATGATGAGGTGTTCATAATACCAAAAATGCTAAAATTGATCAGCAAATGGAGAACATTAAATGGAACTTGAAATAAATTTCGTCTCAAATTGTTTTTGACAATTTTTTGAGCAGTATAATGGAGATAATTTGCCGATAATTTATCATTGTCATACTGATTCATAGTAAAAATAATCAGCTTATTACCATGTTCAGAACAAATGCAATACCTTTTATCAGTATGAAGATGCATCATGAGCCATGAAAACAAATCTAGATCTTCAAATGAGCCGGTTATTTCGTTCAAAATGGAGATTGTACAGTTGTTTTTGCATATCTATAATCTAGAGATAGAGTCAAAAGATGGGAGACAATCAACATCATCACCAAAAGATGCAATAATCATGATGCCTCATTGATGACATCTAGTTTATTGGAAGGTGTAGAAAGATGAATTATTTTATTTTTAAAACAACACTAAGATTATTAAAAATACGTAGAAAATGC